GGGGCTCCAGCAGCAGCACGGGGAGAAGCCCCACAAGTGCTCGGAGTGCGGGAAGAGCTTCACCAAGAGATCCCTGCTGAGCTCCCACAGCAGAATCCACAGCGGGGAGAGACCCCACGAGTGCGGGGAGTGCGGGAAGAGCTTCAGGACGAGCTCAGGGCTGAGCGAGCACCGCAGGATCCACACGGGGGAGAGGCCCCACGAGTGCCAGAAATGCCACAAGAGGTTCCAAACCCGCTCCTCGCTCCTCGTGCACCGGAGGATCCACACGGGCGAGAGACCCTTCCCCTGCCCCGAGTGCGGGAAGAGCTTCAAGCGGAATTTCCACCTGACCGTGCACCGGCGCATCCACAGCGGGGAGAGACCCTTCGAGTGCCATCAATGCCCCAAGAGCTTCCACACCAGCTCCTCGCTCCTCCTGCACCTCCGCACCCACACGGACGAGAGGCCCTTCCGCTGCTCCGAGTGCCGCAGGGGCTTCAACCAAAAATCCGCCCTGGTCACTCACCTGAGGATCCACAGCGGGGAGAAACCGTTCGCGTGTCCCCAGTGCGGGAAGAGGTTCAGGACAAGCTACGAGGTGACCACGCACCGGAAAATGCACAGCAGGGAGAGGCTCCAGGAGGGTCCTGAGCGTGGGAAGAGCTTCAGGAACAGCTCCGACCTCGTCTCCCACCAGAGGCTCCACAGCGGGGAGAAGCTCCACGACGAGGAGAAGCTCCAGGAGGGTCCTGAGCGCGGGAAGAGCTTCAGGAACAGCTCTGACCTCGTCTCCCACCAGCAAATCCACAGTGAGAAGAAGCTCCATGATGAGGAGAAGCTCCAGGAGGGTCCTGAGTGCGGGAAGAGCTTCAGGAACAGCTCCGACCTCATTTCCCACCAGCAAATCCACAGTGGGGACGGGGAGAAGCTCCAGGAGGGTCCTGAGCGCAGGAAGAGCTTCAGGAACAGCTCCGACTTCGTCTCCCACCAGCAAATCCATAGCGAGAAGAAGCTCCACAACGAGGAGAAGCTCCAGGAGGGTCCTGAGTGCGGGAAGAGCTTCAGGAACAGCTCCGACCTCATTTCCCACCAGAGGCTCCACAGTGGGGACGGGGAGAAGCTCCAGGATTGTCCTGAGTGCGGGAAGAGCTTCAGGAACAGCTCCAAACTCATCTCCCACCAGCAAATCCACAGCAGGGAGAAGCTCCACAACGAGGAGAAGCTCCAGGAGGGTCCTGAATGTGGGAAGAGCTTCAGGAACAGCTCCGACCTCGTCTCCCACCAGCAAATCCACAGCGGGGAGAAGCCCCAGGAGTGTCCCCAGTGCGGGAAGAGCTTCAGGCGCATCTCCAACCTCATCACCCACCTGAGGACCCACAGCGAGGAGAAGCTCCACGAGTGTCCCGAGTGCGGGAAGAGCTTCAGGAACAGCTCCAAACTCATCTCCCACCAGAGGATCCACAGCGGGGAGAAGCCGTACGAGTGTGACAAGTGCGGGAAGAGCTTTCGGCTCGTGTCCCTTCTCTTGAAGCATTTTGGGAGCCACAGGGAGGAGAGGCCTTTCCGCTGCCCCCAGTGCGGGAAGGGATTCAAGCTCGAGTGCACCCTCAGCGTCCACCGGCGCTCCCACGGCGAGGAGAGACCCCACGGGTGCGAGAAATGCGGGAAGAGCTTTCACACCCGCACCACGCTCCGGCAGCACCTGCAGGTGCACAGCGGGGAGAGGCCCCACCGCTGCCCCCGGTGCGGGAAGGGATTCGCTCGGAAATGCTCCCTGGTGAGGCACCGCAGGATCCACAGCGGGGAGAAACCCTACGAGTGTCCCCAGTGCGGGAAGGGATTCGCGCAGAGCTCCAACATGAGCCGGCACCGGCGGAGCCACCAGGGAGGGGAGAGCTGTGGCCCCCGCCGGTGATCCACGGTGATCCACGGTTATCCTGGGTGGTTCCTGGTGATCCACGGTGATCCATGGTGGTTCCTGGTGATCCACGATGATCTGTGTTGGTTCCTGGTGGTCCCTGGTGGTCCCCAGTGATCCATGGAGATCCATGGATGAGCCCCACAGATGATCCATGGTGATCCGTGGTGATTCCTGGTGATCCGTGGTGGTTCCTGGTGATCCCTGGTGGTCCCTGGTGGTCCCCAGTGATCCGTGGAGATCCGCGGATGAGCCCCACGGATGAGCCATGGTGATCCCTGGTGGTCCCTGGTGATCCCTGGTGATCCTGGGTGACCCTGGGTGGTCCCCGGTGATCCGTGGAGATCCACGGATGATCCCCGGTGATCCATGGTGAGCCCTGGTGATTCCCGGTGATCCCTGGAGATCCGCGGATGAGCCCCATGGATGATCCCTGGTGATCCGTGGTGATTCCCGGTGATCCGTGGTGATCCCCGGTGATCCCTGCCGGGAACGCTCCTGCCCGGGGGTCTCCGGCTCTCCGGGGCCTGCGTTTCCTTCCTGCTGCTCTTTGTGCTTCCAAAATCCCCAAAAATAAAGGTTTTGAAGGAAGCCGTGGTTGGGGAC